CCAAACGTCTTTAAAAGTGATGTTAACTGGAGGAGTTCCAACTCAGTATGGTCACGAATCATCGATACAACATCGTTGCAGAATACGGAGGAAGCACGCAAATGGATATATACAATTATAAAAGAAGACAGACACAATATCAAATCACTTATACTTCCCACTCCAGCTTCCATTTCTCCGTTTCCATCTCTGAGTTCGAATATTGTTGATTCAGAATCTATATGTAATGAGATTACAGCACCACCATCATCGTCCTCAACGACTATCACTACTAATAACTTTCTATTACCGGTAATTTCATCACATGAAAATCCAAATATAACCTGTATTGCATTCACCATGTCAAGTCAAGATTTTAAACAATTTTTTAATCGTACTGAATACTCTCTTTGTAATGACTGGCAAAATATCGTTTATCAAAAATTGGTCACAGTCAGCGTAACATGTGTTTTGGCATTCCAGCATAATCACGTCAAAAAAGTTCTATCGAGGAAAAGAAATACTCCATTTTTCAAGGCTGATGCTAAATGTAAAATTCAAAACTGTCCAGCAACTTTTCGTTTAACATTAAAAGATATTGATACGAAACCACGATCATTTTTAGTCGAAATCAGTGATACTCCAAAACATGATAACAAAGAAGTTCCAGCAAGAAGACAGCTAACTGGAAATAATCGTTTAGAAATGGGTTAGTTGAATAAAAAAATAACAAACTTCTGAACTCTATCGCTGTGTTATAGAACAAAATATGGAGAGAATGACTTGGGAATGAAAGGAAGTGAAAGAACTTGATAGCTACTCAAAATGTCTCATGGAAAAGGTAAAAATAAAAAATAAAATAAGATTATTTCCGTCTTCTCGAAAATAAAGCGTGGAAAATACTTCTATAGGAAAGAAAATCATCGTGACTCTAATAGCGAGTTTCTTAATGAAACTGTCTTCTCTCGCTGTATTTTTCGCTTCAGCTGAATTAGTGACCAGTAAAGGTCCTCTACGTACCTTTGAAGAAAATATGGAAAAAGCAGATGACAATTTATTAAAAGACAATAACTTCACGTTCGTGCCACCAATACCCGTGCTGAAAACAATTGCAAATGAATACCGGCAAAATCACAGGCTTAGTGAAGATATCTTCACAGAAATTCGAATTTTGAAACGTGCACTAGCAGTAGCTGATATTTCTTCAAATGATTTTAGTGGTAAGTGCCTGAAAGGAACTAATTACAATAAACGAGTACCGAACGAAGTCTTAATCTTCTCGCCTCTCTTAAGTTCTTATTTTAAAGTACGAATTGTTGAAGCAAAAGAGAAAATAGTCTTAAGTGTTTGCAAGCTACTAAGTCGATTACGAATCAAAGCGAAACCAAAGTTAGCGAGAAGACTCCCATCTTGCACTTTAGGTTTTTTATAGCGATCATTATAACCAAGGGGGAAAAAGCGGATTCGCGTATTCCGGAATTCTCATATATTCGGAAGTATTCGCAAGTATTCGCAGGTATTCGTACGTATTCTCATTCCTCTAAAAGTTTTCCAACGAAACTTCCTTAGGAAACCTTTAGAGGAATGAGAATACATGCGAATACCTGTGAATACTTGTGAATACTTCCGAATATATGAGAATTCCGGAATACGCGAATCCGCTTTTTCCCCTTGATTATAACTCACTCAAGTAATATTATATATCTTCACTTAGGCTATATTCGTACAACTGGAGAAGACCCATTCACCGTTCATTTGATGTGTGAAGCACAAATTCTTCGTTATATAAATTATTGTCGATCAGTTTCATATTCATTTCTTCATTTGGATGCCACCGGAAGTGTTATTCGGAAGATAACCGAGCAAAAATCGGCTTTCTTTTACAGTTGCATCTATAAAGACGACGATGATCCAAGTTGTCTGTTACCGTTGGCCAGTGCACTTTTGTGCGATAACACTGTCACTGGTATTCACCATTTCTTATTGAATATTCGAAAACATATTGTTATTATTAAACGTGTATTTGTACGACCATCTTTTATAATCGTTGATTTTAGTCACGCGTTAATTAATGCAGTATTATCTTCTTTCAACAATATGGATATAAATACGTATCTTCAAATATGCTTCAACATCTTGCAATGTAAATATACTAGAAAGAAACTTAAAGCACTAACAATTATTCGAATGTGTTGCGCACATGCTATACATGCTTTTGCTCGAAATTTGGCAAAATTTCAAATTCCAGAAAAACGTCGACATCCACCAATAAAACTTTTTGCTCTTCTTCTGAATACAAATGAAAGTGAACAAATTTTTGAATTGTTTGCAAAGATATGTGCTATATTTGGTGATCCACAGAATTGTAATGCTGAAGCTGATTTGGATCCAATTCTCTGTGTAAAAGAGTTATTAAAATTTGATTTAGGTAATAGATAACACAGACGTGAATGAAAGAAACCTGAGTGTCATAGTTTTTATTTTCTAATCCGTTCGCTTCTATTTTATGTCATTTAGAAAAATATTTATGTGAAGATGAAGAAGGCGATGTTCTACAGGAATCGCAGGTGAAAGGATATCAAGTTGAAGATTTAACAATCTCTACATCAGCGATCATCCACCAGTCACCTTTTAATATTGAAATGCGTAAACGTACGAATATATTAGAACATCTCCTTGAAAAAAATAAAACGAAACAAAATCAGAAACAAAAACCAACAAATCCGCTCTATTCTCCTAAAATTTTATTATTGTTCTATAAGTGGTTCGCCTATGTACCGCTATGGAGTTGTGTCTTTCTCGAATTTAAAGAACGGTGAGAAAAGGCTTTCGATGTATTGTGTATCATAAATAACTATATTTTCGATCTGTATCTTTCGATTTTAGTTACGCCAGTGATAGAAATGATAGTTCTCCTGGTAAACGAACTCTTGGAGGTGGTCGTGTCTCCAACGCACCTATCGAAAGCTATTTTGAAATTATAAAAGAAAGTGTCCTTCAAAAGAAAACACGTAAGTCTCTGTGTTGAAAACTGTATTGACTCTACTTTTTAATACACATAGCAACGAAAAGTACAGGATCTCGGAAACGTATAGACGCGTATATCTCAGTGATGTCCTACTTTCCAAAATGAGTGAATACACGGAGTGTTAAAGATATAACTGGTTAACACAGTCTGCAAACCTTTTTTCAAATCAAATACTGATAGCTAGACATTTGACAAAAACAAATCTGGCACTCAAAGTCTTGACTACCAAACAATCGTTATTGTGATTTAAAACTCTACTACATATTTCTCTTAGTACACTGAGCGGTTTAATAATTCTTTTCGATTTCAGAGGAGTTCATGTCATTGTATCTGACAGTCAAAGAAATGAGTACCGGACACTCTGATGCTTGTCGATCCACTTAAATGAAATGAGATCTTTTAGTCTGTCATTCAAAATTCCAAAAAGACCGCTGTGTGCATCACGCTTCCACAATTTGAAAAAGTTCTAAATAAAAATAGTCTCCCGTCTATCTACCTGATCTAAAACTATTGAGTATTCACTTTTTTAATCCACATGAAGTTAAAAGGTTTCTGGACGATACAAATAACATCTGGCACTCAAAAGCTTGAGTGCCAGACACTCCACAGCTTTATCCTACTAAAGTCAAGGATATCTGGCACTCTAATCTAACAATGCCAACTGGCGATAGCATTCTCTGAAAGTCTTCGTTGGGGGCACAGACAAAGAGCTACACGGTTCTTTTTTCTCAATGTATGTCATTTTGAGGAAAAAAGTAACGATTGCCTCATTTATATTTATTATTGTTTACAGATTTGAGACCTGGCGATTTCATCACAAAACTCTATACTAGCGTAATGGCACGTCTAAAAGCTGGTAAATACAATGTTCAACAACAGAGTACACGGAAAAAAGGAAGGAAAAGAGTAACGGATGTGTTGCTTTCGGAGAAGTGGGGTGAAAGTAATAAACGAAAGAATCGTGGTCGATATTTTGCAAAACATAATCAAAATTCATATGTAAATAAAAGGTATGTACTTCTGCATATTTGTCGCCAGTTCGTGTAGGCTATTTTT